CGCTATTGGAAAAACATGATGGTGGTAGCACCATTCCCAGAGGTCGATTGCCAGGAAGAGAAGGGAGGAGGAGTGGGTGCCACCTTGTTTGTTGATATAAAAGAGGGCAGTGGTGTTGTCTGTTGCTAGTTGGATGACACGGCCTCAAATGTGGTAGGAAAGGTTGGAAGGCTTTTATGATTGCCATGAGTTCCAAGTGATTTATGTGCAATATTGATTCCGATCTTGTCCAAAGTCCGTGAATTTTGTATTGCAGGTAATGAGCACCCCATCCCGAGGGACTGGCATCCGTCGTGATTTGTACAGTGGGTTGAAGAGGTCGGAAGGGGCGACCGACAAGGAGATTCAACATTGTGGTCCACCAGGTGAGTTGATACGAGAGTTCTGGTGTTAATTGCAGTTTTTTTGATTGGCTGTGTGTCATTGGGTCGAATTGGGCGAGGTACCACGCCTAAAGGGACCTGAGCTTGAGTCTGGCATGTTGAATGACTGATGTCATTGAAGACATGAAACCTAGAAGATGTCGGGCATGAAGAGCTGTGACTAGTGCTCGAGGTCAAAACGAGGTTATGGCACGCTCCTGTTTTTTGATTCTTTCTCTTGGGATGAATGCCCTGGCTTGTATGGAGTCGAGTTGAGCTCCGATGAAGGTAGTCGTTTGGGATGGTTCCAGATGTGATTTTGAATAATTGACTTAGAGACCGAGCTTTTGAATAGTGTGAAGGGTAATGTGTGTGGCTCTCACAGATCAAGAAGGGACTTTACCACAATGAGCCAATCATCAATGTAAGGGTAGAGGTGGATACCCTGCAGACGAAGGAAAGCTGCAATTGGCGCCATGCACTTTGTAAAAGTTCTTGGGGCTGTTGAGAGCCCAAATGGGAGGGAGCAGAATTGGTAAGCCGAGTTGTTGAAATAAAAATGGAGGAACTTGTGATGGTCTGGATGGATCGATATGTGAAAATAATCATCCTTGAGGTTGATCAGGGCGAATCCATCTCCCTGTGAAAGAAGTGGAATAACGGTGTCAAGTGTGAGCATTCAAAACTTTCAAGGTCGAATATAGCTATTGAGATCCCTGAGATCGAGGATCGGATGAAGGCCTCCGTCCTTTTTCGGGACCGTGAAATATTTGAAATAGAAACCATAAGGGGAGTCAATATGTGGAACTGAAACAATGGCTTGCTTGTCAAGTAATGTGGAGATTTCTTCCTGAAGGGTGTCTGAATATGGAGTGAACTTAAGGTTGCCCAAAGGGGGAATGGACTCAAACTCAATCCGGTAACTTGATGAAATAATATTAAGAACCCACTTGTCATTTGTAATAAATTCCCAGAATGGGAGAAAAGGTCGCAATCTTGGGTAGGTTAGATCATAGAGTAGAGGGATGTGGATAGGGGTATCAATATCATCGATATCCCTTACCCTTCCCTTGCGCCTTTGGTAAGGATTGGCGGTGCTGCTGGTGGTTTCGAGCCCAGGCGGTCGATGTTGATGGGCCTGGTGACGAGACAGGTCTGTCGGATTGTTGCTGTTGAAAAGGACGGTATGGTTGGTATCACTGGAATGGTTGCTGATAGTATTGGGAATGTCTGTATTGTGGTTTATAGGAGTGAAAAAAGAATTGATTCATATAAGTTTTAGCTGTCTTTCGAATCTTGTGGAGATTCTCCATGGTATCATCTGTTTTCTGGTTAAAGAGTCCCAAACCATCAACGGGAAGCTCCTCTATTCTGTCTTTGGCATCATCAGTCAGAGATGTAGACCTGAGCCAAACGGGTCGACGGATGACTACAGAAGATGCCAGGGATTTAGAAGCGGCTTCAGCAGCATGCCTGGCAGCGATCTTTTGTTGCTTTGCCAGGGAGGCCGCTTCCGCATGGGCATTCATGAGGTCTGTCTTGATGGATTCTGGGGCAGACTCAAGGATGGGCAGGATTTTTGCCCACAGATGTCGTTGATAAGCGCCCATCGCCGCTTGGTAATTAGCAGTTCTGAGCAGGAAAGACTGTAAAGAATAGATTCTGCGAGCCATGACATCGAGTTTTCTCCCTTCCTTGTTGGTAGGTGATATTGAAGATTTACTTCTTGATTTGGGTAAATTGGACTCGACTATGATGGAATTTGGGGTAGGGTGTTTGGCCAGAAATTCCATATCAGGACCGTGGGTTCTGGACATTTTCTTGGTCCGTCTCAAAATTCGCAAATTTGAGGGTGGCGTGTCCCAGGCAACTTTAATTATTTATATCATGGCAAGTATAAAGGCTAGACTTAGAGGTTGTGATTTTTCACTGTGGATGCCATAAAAAATGATAGGAAGGAGGTTCTTCAACCTGGAGTTTAAGTGCAGAAGCCATGCGAGGTTCTTCGACCTGGAGTTTAAGTGCAGAAGCCATGCAAGAGATCAAATGAGAATAAGAAGTAAAGTTCTTTGTTGGAGAAGACGGGCGTGTGTCAATAGGACTGGATTCAGGAGTGGTTATATTGGCCGGAGATTCCAGAGACGATTCGGTATCAGTGTCTTGGTCTGAAGCCGATGGAGTAGGTGAGGAGTCATCATCTGAGCGAGAAGTCATTTGAAAGCATGTATCGCAGGTGGAGCAGGTTGAGGCATCGTAGTCGGTGTGACATGACGTTCCTTAAAGGAATATTTAGCTTGCTTTGATGGGTGAGTGCTTGCAGAGTGAGCATGACATTTTTTCAATGTCGAGAATGACGTCAATGTCAAAGGGGTTATCTGAGGTTTTGATGTCATAGTCAAAGGTGGCACGCTTTCATGGTAAGCTAGGGGTTCGCGTCGGGATCGTTTTGCTGATGTCGTTTGGGAGAAACCCTGGTATGCTTCCATTTGAAATTGGTTGGCAAAGGGGGAAAAATTTCCATGCCAAATTGTTGAAAGGCAAGCTGCTGGTAAGCTGGAAAAAAATGGAAACTGATAACATTGACCAAACTGAGACATTGGAGTAGGTGACTCAATATGCTTCCTTTTCTCTTTTCGTTTCCTCGGAGACTGAGGAGGAGTTTCAGGCTCAGATGGCTTGGTGTCAAAAGCCCGCCCTGATGTTGGGCTTGAATGGGCAGTGGCCGGACTGGATAGAAACTCAATCCCCATGTGGCCAGTGGAGGGAAACAAGCTACCAGCCATGACTGGAGCTTCTGCCGAGGGAATATGCACCTCATCCCTTTCCACTACAGAACCTGAAGCCTCCATACTAGAAGATTCTTCTAGTATCAGAGAGAGTGGGCGCTCTCCGGGTGGATCCAGACGAGCAGCTTTAACTTTCTTAGACTTCTTGGCAACTGTTTTTTCTTTCTTTTTCTTAGATTGTTCATGCTCCTTCGGGGCTTTGGACTTTGAAGCCTTAAAAGTGTCGGAACCTTCTTTGGAACGGGGCGAAGGAGTAAAATGCCCCGGGGTGCCGGATGAAGCTAGCTGCTTCTGAATGCAGAGCCTCAGCAGGAGCCACAGTAGCAGGATTCATGGCTGCTTTCCAATGGGTAAGATCTTAATCATTGAAGCCTGTGTTTTAGCGCAGGCTTTGTAAAGCTTTTACAAGCCGCACAGGACTGCGTTTGATGTTCTTCACCCAAACAGAATAAGCACTTGTCGTGGCTGTCAGTAGATGGAATTTTACTATTGCAGCCGATGCAGCACGATGCAGCGCTTAAAAAGAGCTGAAGAGCCCATAAAGGGTGGGAAAGGAGGGAAAGGACGATAGAAGGGAAAAAAGGTAGAAGGGAAAAAAGGTCTGAAGAAGTAAAAGGACAATCGGAAACGCAAAAACTTACGGGCGATCAGGAAAAAAACTTGTTGATTGGTAATTGAAAAAGGAGATTGTTAATTAGCAGGACAAAGGCCAAATAATCGCTCTCTCTCTCTCTTTCCCGTAGAACTTTTCAGCACAGCGGGAAAAAGGAACTGAGGGGAGCGGTAGGTGGGAGGAGCATTGCCTCATGGGAGATCACACCATAAAATTATTACTTTTAGCTTTAG